CCACATTGGAACCAGCGTCCATCTCGGCAGCGAGGCTGCGGTAGGGCAGTGGCAGGCCGGGCCAAGCAGGTACTCTCGGCAGCACTCCCATCGTGATCTTGGGGCTCTGCTGCCTGGGCCAGCAACAGTTGACTTGGGGGTCTCTGCTGAAACTATCGATCTATCAACACCTCCTCATCCCACTGTGCTTCACGGAGTGCTTCCTCCAAGGAGCTGGGTGATGTCAGGCGGACATGCTGGCATAGTCTCTTGGGGCCCAGGCCCCGCAAAAACGCATGCAGGCTTAGCTCCTCCCGAGCAGCCGGTGGGAAGGAAGGGTAGCCACACCTGGTGTACAGCTGGATGTCAGCAGAGTAGCTTCCTAGACTCTCTCTCTCCCTGCGCTGGCGACTGGCTAGCTGGTCACAGCTCTGCTCTGTTGCCGTTCTTTGGCCAAAATGTCTCTCCAGTGCCGCCATGACAGCAGGCAGCTCCCTGCGCTCATTGGGAGTAAGATCGATTAGGATCTGCAGGGCGTCCCCTTCTAACGTAAACGCCACATGAGTCGCTGTCTCCATGTTATTCCATCCACCGTGGAGAGCAGCCAGCTGTACTTGGGCCAGATAGGGCTCTAGAGGGGTTGTCCCATTAAACTGCGGCAGTTTGGCTGGCGTGTTAGGTGCATATAAAGAATGTTTGTTTTATGTGTCATCTTAATATGTTTAATGTGCACAAGTTGATAAAACAATAAAGACATGAAATGTTCTTCACTTTCGAATTATTTGCTCTGTGGGGTGGGGTGGGTATCGCGTTATGGTGGCGCTGTGGCAGCGCAGTAGTCTCAGAGTGAGAAGGATTAGGGTTTGCGTCCTTTGTGTGCAGAGTTTGTATGTTGTCCTGGTGTTTGTGTGGGAGGGAGGGAGGGAGGGAGAGAGAGAGGGAGAGAGGGAGAGAGAAGGAAAGAGTAAACCTCAGTGCCCACTCGCCATCTGGAATCTGAGACATGCATCACTACTGTATCAACTGAGCGAGTAAATTCAAATATATGCACACAGATGTGCCTGCCCAGACATACAAATCACAAAAAGTATATTAAACATGCACATGCACATGCACACACAATATTTACATGCATGTACACTAAACACACACACATTCTAAAAGATGTGAAAACACAGCTTCTCATTCCAAATGCCCAAATATACACAACGCTATTGAATAGCGTGGCCCTCGCCGTTCATTGCTGCGCTTTGAGGGGGCTGCTCCCTCTGAGCGCCTTGGCCACGCTATTGCATAGCTTGGCCCTCGCCGTTCACTGTCAACTACTGTTGTTCTCTTCTTTTGCAGCATGCTGACATAAGTGAATATGTCAGACTACTGAACAGCGCCGTGATGAGTCTCTCTGAACAGGTTGTTGAAATCCTGCGCAGAGACCAATCTGAGGAGCCTACCTCAGCTGCTGTGGACAGCTGG